ACACCTGGTATCACTTTCTGAATGGCTCTGAGTTGAACACCTGGTATCACTTTCTGAATGGCACTGAGTTGAAACCTGGGGACACTTTCTGAATGGCCCTGAGTTGAAAACCCGGGGTCACTTTCTGAATGGCCCTGAGTTGAAAACCTGGTATCACTTTCTGAATGGCACTGAGTTGAAACCTGGGGACACTTTCTGAATGGCCCTGAGTTGAAAACCCGGGGTCACTTTCTGAATGGCCCTGAGTTGAAAACCTGGTATCACTTTCTGAATGGTCCTGAGTTAAAAACCTGGTATCACTTTCTGAATGGTCCTGAGTTAAAAACTTTGGGTCACTTTCTGAATGGCCCTGAGTTGAAAACCTGGTATCACTTTCTGAATGACACTGAGTTGAAACCTGGGGTCACTTTCTGAATGGCCCTGAGTTGAAACTTGGGGCCACTTTCTGAATGGCACTGAGTTAAAAACCTGGTATCACTTTCTGAATGGTCCTGAGTTAAAAACTTTGGGTCACTTTCTGAATGGCCCTGAGTTGAAAACCTGGGGTCACTTTCTGAATGACCCTGAGATGAAAACCTGGGGTCACTTTCTGAATGACCATGAGTTAAAAACCTGGTATCACTTTCTGAATGGTCCTGAGTTAAAAACCTGGGGTCACTTTCTGAATGGCCCTGATTTAAAAACATGGGGTCGCTTTCTAAATGGACTCGAGTTGAAAACCTGGGGTCACTTTCTGAATGGCCCTGAGATGAAAACCTGGGGTCACTTTCTGAGTGGCCCTGAGTTGAAACCTGGGGTTACTTTCTGAATGGCCCTGAGTTGAAACCTGGGGTCACTTTCTGAATGGCCCTGAGTTGAAACCTGGGGTCACTTTCTGAGTGGCCCTGAGATGAAAACCTGGGATCACTTTTTGAGTGGCCCTGAGTTGAAACCTGGGGTTACTTTCTGAATGGCACTGAGTTGAAACCTGGGGTCACTTTCTGAATGGCCCTGAGTTGAAACCTGGGGTCACTTTCTGAATGGCCCTGAGTTGAAACTTGGGGTCACTTTCTGAATGGCCCTGAGTTGAAACCTAGGGGTCACTTTCTGAATGGCCCTGAGTTGAAACCTGGGGTCACTTTCTGAATGGCTCTGAGTTGAAACCTGGGGACACTTTCTGAAAGGCTCTGAGTTGAAACCTGGGGTCACTTTCTGAATGGATCCGAGTTGAAAACCTGGGGCCGAATTACCTGAGTTATGTTTATACCCTGGTTCACTTAGCAAGTGACCTTGAGTTAGACACATTTTCATAGAATGTTCTTAGCAAGGGGCTATGTTATATGTAAATAGG